CCCTCCCCCTCTACTCTGCCCTAGTGAGGCCCCATCTGGAGTACTGTGTCCAGTTCTGGGCTCCCCAGTTCAAGAAGGATGAGGAGCTACTGGATAGAGTCCAGCGGAGGGCTACAAGGATGATGAGGGGGCTGGAACATCTGTCCTACGAGGAAAGGCTGAGGGAGCTGGGCTTGTTTAGCCTGGAGTAGGCTGAGGGGGGATCTTATAAATCCTAAGAAATATCTTAAGGGCAGGTGTCAGGAGGAAGGGATCAGACTCTTTTCAGTGGTGCCCAGCGACAGGACAAGGGGCAATGGGCACAAACTGAGGCACAGGAAGTTCTGTCTGAACATGAGGAAGAACTTCTTCCCTCTGAGGGTGACAGAGCACTGGAACAGGTTGCCCAGAGGGGTTGTGGATTCTCCTTCTCTGGAGATATTCAAGACCCGCCTGGACAAGGTCCTGTGCAGCCTACTGTAGGTGACCCTGCTTCGGCAGAGGGTTGGACAAGGTAATCCGCAGAGGTCCCTTCCGAGCCCTGCCATTCTGTGAAGCCTCTGTGCACCAGCTGGTAGAATTGTATGAGTGAGGAAAAGGGAATATTATACCTCGTGCATTACGCTGAATTTACATCCTTAAACAAGACAGGTGTCCTGTGTCCTTATTTCTCGGTGAAAAGAAATGTCAGAATCTCAAGAATTCTTCCTGTTCTTTCCTTGGAGCAGCACAGCTTTGTCGATTTTGACTTTCAGTCCTGTCTAAAGTGTAATCTCAGTATTATCTGTGAGCATTCTTATGCAGTTCTATATTGAGTAATTTTTTGACATTGTTGACCAAAGGAGTTTCATTCAAACTGTTCTTTTTAAACTCCCTCCTTCTGTGCCCAGATGACCACAAAATACTTTTGAACCTGACAACCCCAAAAAGGGGCACTTTTTTTAAAATGCATTTTCTAGGATTTTCAGGTGTATATGGTAGGAAAAATTGTTGGTAAACAGTATTTGATAATAACATGCTTAAAAAGCAATTGTAATAAATTTTACTGCGTATGTAATTGAGCAAATAGTTCAGTGCATAATGCAATATTGGCAGACCGGAAGAATGGAGTAGGAACAGATATTTCTGAATAAAACTAAATTGTCTATATGTAAGAGTTTATTTGGTGTTGCATTTTGTAATTAAAATGCTATACAGTACAGGCTCTTGATTGTAAATGAAAGCTAAAACTGCGGTCATTTTGTGCCTATGTGAGAGGAAATTGTTACTGGCTATCATCTAGGATGCTTCTCATCACACTGGGGGCTCTGCGTCTTAACTTTTAAATATGTTCAATTCCTTGATCTTTATTTGCTGATATTTGTGGGTTAAAGCCTAAGGGTGTAGGTGCTTCACAGAATAAGAAACCGTCGAAGTGTAAACCTGGAAGCAAAGAAGGCACAAGAGGAGATCATGTAGTGGTCTCCATAGTTAGGCAACTGATGAAGTCATGTGGTTTGATCATCCTATTGATATGCATAAACTGTGTAAAAGAAACAACTACTGACAAGAGCAGGGGAATGTAAAGTAAAAAAGTACAAAGTAAAAGTAAAAAGAGGGAAGAAAAACACTCTGTAGTTCTTGTGTTTGTGATGTGTGAGGCTTTAATCTTAATGAAGTATACATGTAGCAAGCTAGGTCAACTGGATCTACTTTAAATTTTTAAAAACATTTTCTGTAGGAAATAAAACAGTGGCTAAAAGTTGTGAGATGCTGAATTATTTCTCAGAAGTGCAGCACTGCTGCTTTCTCTGCCATGCCAGCCCTGTTCCTGGCTGAGCTATCTTGCACAGTGTGGAGCAGCCTGGTGTTTGGGTCTTGGGGAAAAGCTTTGCCATTGTATTTAAATAAATCTCTTCATCTGCCCTGTCTGCCAGAAAAAAAAAATACCTTAAATGAAAGTAGCCTGTAGGTTTTTTTCTCTCTTTTTTTTTTTTTAAGGAGATCACAACTTTGATTTATGAAATCTCCAATGCTTCAAATACAGTTTCTGAGATGAGTACAGAAAGAGTTCAGAATGTTAGTTTTGTTTAGCTTTGTGCCATTCCTTGGCTCTTCACTGATTTTATGTCTGTGATAATGAAGTTGAGAAGGTAGCCGTACTCATGTAGAGTAGGAGAGAAGAAGAAGAATGCAGACAAGTCTAATTTGAAGCTTGTGGATGTTTAGAGGGGGTTTAGGTGACTCATAAACTGTTTGTTTATTTTGTAGGACTTTCTGCACATACACATGTGGAACTTCCTTATTACTCCAAATTTCTTCTAATAGCTGCTTACCTTGCCTCCTACAATCCTGTTAGGACAGATAAGAGGTTCTTTCTTAAGGTAATGAGATTTTTGTCTTAGAGCTGCTTACTGGATTCCTGCATGCTGAATTTCATAGTTCAAAACTCTTCAAGCGTTCATTTTGAGTTTTGTTTCTGTGTGGTTCATTTGATTTTATCAGAAGTTTTTCTGTAGATCACTTAGTCATTGTTAATGTCTAATAAACCCAGCTGCCTCTTCATGTCAAAACATGCGTAACACTGTTGCAGCACCAGTATTGTGCTTTGCTTTTGTAAGTTGATACAGCTCCATTTTGTGAAGATTTTAGTGGAGTGCCTGCAATGTCCTTAGGTGTAAGACACACTTAAAATTTAAGATACAAACCACAACTCACCCTTTAAAATTACATAGTGCATTGTTAACTTATTTATACAGTTGTAAGCTTCTGAAACAAAGACATACAAACAGTTGCTTTTGCAGAAGATGTGGTTCCATTAGCTGGCATATGTTGTGTTGAAATGATGGTAATGCATGTTTTAGGATGAATGTATTAATCCGCACTACCAAATCATGGGCTAAACCTCATTTTCTGTAAGTTCTTGTCATGTACATGTTTAAATTTTTTTAAAATTCTTTTTTCCTTTGGGCTGTGTTGTGATCATGCTGCAGATAAATGCTGTGGTGCCATAGTTTGTAGTCTGTCTCTTATGCAGGATCTTCATGCTCCTTAAGCCTGCCTCTTTGCTTTGTTTTTGAGGTCTCAATTTGACAAAATGTAGGCAGGAAGACAGATATCAGAAAAGTGATTGGGCAATTATGCTTTCGGTGCATTTCACCAACTTGAAGGTTTTCTGCATTATTGCAGTCTGTATTAATATATGCATGTGTGTATAAATGTATGGTATAAACGATAGATAGGTGTGAACAACTGAAGAAAATGAGAACAAGGCAATGTGTAAAAATATGCTTCTTTTCTTCCCTCTTGGGAGAAAAATTGTAGATACAGGTTTTGAGAAGTTACTGCAGTCCCTAGTGATGATATACTAGTATGTTACTAGTTTAAATAGGGGTTTCGTGTTCCTGGTATGATCGTACATTGAAAGCTGTAGGTGTTTCACCCTTCTGTCTAGTCTTTTTCTGAGAAGAGCAGAGGATTACTGGTAGTAAGTGCAGAATGACAAATTTTCTTTATGGGCAACCTTTGTTTTTTTTCACTTGGCCATAACAATTTATTTGTAAGGGATTTGTTTGCTGAAGAAGTGGGTTTTTTCCCAGTTTTTTCAGTAAAGCACGTTATCAGAAAGTCCCGCATCTTTCTTGTTTGTGCTCACTGAACAACCTTCTCCATTTTTTTCCTTTCTCCTATTTTAGTATTTCTGAAGTTAGTTTCCACTCTTGCACGTGAACCCTACTAAACTTTTGTACAATAAACAGGAGCTTCTAAGGTTTTTGAAGCAGGGACTGTGAAGGCATTTCAATCGGTGATATTAAGTATTTTTCCCAAGAACAGGTGAAGCAGGAGAAGTTACCATTCTAGCTAGACGTGTCATCTGATAGCAGTTAGCCCTTCATCATGTCCTAAGGTGAAGTTCAGAAATAGCTGCATCTCAAAGCCCAACAAAACCAACACTTCACGGGGAGTGTTCAGGTTGAATGTTTTTGAGTCATGTGGACTGTGAAAATAGAATATGGCTTTGTCAGGTTTGCAATGAGATTCAGGGTAGATTACAGAAGAGTACCTTCTGCAAAGATTTAACTAAGGACTGCTAGACAGCAAAAGGAATGCAAACAAAAAGATGATCCTTGAGCTGCTAATCTGCACTTCTAGTACAGGTCCTAGGCTGTACTACAGCTCAAGATGAAGTCACAGTTTGTGGCAGCCTGGAATGCTAACACCCTGATAAAGCAATGAAGTAATAATTGGCAATGCTTCTATTAGTTACGTGAAAGTTCAAGAACTTCACGGTAGATTAAGTGAAAAATACAAAGTTGGTTTTGAAAGGTAGTCTTTAAAACAAAAAATAATAGCATTCTTTATGAGGTCTTCATTTTATCGTTTTAGTAGAAAACAAGATTAAAAACTAACTGAAAATTAGCTCTAAATTTCATATGATTTTTTTTGTGCTTGCACCGAAATAGGACACCTGCTCACGTGCTTTCAAACACTTTTGATATAACTTAAATATACCATATGGAGATCCCAGCATAACCTTTAAAATGCATGAATGCAGTTTGTTGTGATCCATCACTTAGCACACCATGTAACCTCAGGCTTGATCACTTTCCGCTCCAACAGGTCTCTTTTATTACAGCAATTCTCCTTTCAGGGGCAAGATAAAAAGAATACGTTGCTGTCTCTAAGTATGTGATATGTATTAATTGCATGAACTAATTTTTTTTTAGTCTGGCAAATTATTTAAAGGAAGCTTATAGCCCTGTCTAATATTAAGCTCTTCAGGAGTCAGTCAAGAAATGCCACAGTTGACTGGCTGTGAGATCTTGATATATCTGGGTACTGAGGTCCACAGATAACTAAGTACAAGATTGTAAACATTAAAATGAAAAAAGAATTCCTTCACTGGAGATATTTTTTCCCTGATTCATTGAGCATGCTTATAAGGTATGCTTATTAGTGAAGTATAGCTCTCAAGGCTGAGGAAAAACTCACCAGGTGGTATTTTCAGAAATAACACTTATCTGTGTATAAAGAATATTATACTTGTACCTCTCCACAAATTTTATGTCATTCACACATGTCTCTGTGTTTTAAAATTTTTTTTACTTGTTTATTTGTAACATCGTATTTACTTTATTTGTGTCCTTGTCTTGCCCTCACATTTTCAGTTGAGGTCCAAGAATACTTGGTGTTTTCTTTGGATAGTCTTTCCTTTCTTAAGGCTGCTTTGAAGCTGCGCCTTTTTAAATGATACACCTTTTTGCCTCCTTTCTGTTTGTCCTTTAGCTCCTGCACCTTGAACTATCTTTGCATTGTATTGATTTACTTCCCGGTTGTCATTCTGCCAACTTGCATACTATCAGAATTCTAAAATGGAGCAGATGAAACATGAAAATTCAGATGGATTTTATGCATGGATAAATTTGAAAAATGGAGTGGCCATCATTTAAAATTCTCTGAAAGAAATGAAACATCTGCCTTTTTCATTAGATGGTTGAGGGTTGGAGGAGGATGGTGGCATGAAGTCATATTAAAAACAAATCTTTACTGCCTCTTCTCATGAGTCCCTGATTAGATCAGAAAAAACTAGTGTGTTGTTTTTTGGTGTTGCACCACTGGGGACACAATGAAACAAGAAGTAAGACAAATGTAGTTCTAGAGCTTCTGGTAAGAAAGAATGCTAGTAACATCAGAGGCATGTACTGGAGGTGTAGTATAAAGGCAAACCAAGAGTAATGTACTACCATCTTCTCTATAGAATGAGGAAAAAAAAAATTACATCTAATATTTATTCTTGTCTGTGGTTTACAGCATCATGGGAAAATTAGAAAGACCAACTTTATGAAGAAACACGAAAAGGTGTGTATTTTGTCTTTCTAAACTGAACTTGGCAACAAATATTTTCTTTCTGCTGTACTGCTGGTTTTGTATTTTGTTTTGCCTCCTTTACTGTAGAAACAACAGGATTGCATAAGTAACAATTATTGGTGCATTCGTTTTGTATGATACAAATTTATGTATGCTACACATTTTTATTTCATTGAAATTTGTCTTCTGAAGCCATATTTTTGCGTATAACAATGTGCTTAATAAAGCTAGTTAGAGGACATCATACATGAAAGAGCCAGATATCAGAATTTCTCTCAAAGGTACTAGGGTAATAGGTGGTTAGTAGTTTTGAAAGTCAAGTCACTTTAATTCCCAGCGATGCAGTGAGGTTTAGGAGCTTAAGTTTGTGTTGAGGCTCAGAAACTTTGCACTCCTGTCTGTTGTTTAGGATTCCATTGGATTATTAACTAACCTTGTCATGGTTATAAATAGCTAAATATCATTGATTTGAGTGGATCTCTACCAGTTTTTACTGACAGAGGCTTGATATGCTAGGAAAGGCAAATACCTGTATGTGTATTTCTAACTGTAATGTAAAAAGAGAAATCAAATTTTAACGTTGCTAACTTGTTAACTTATTTTAAAACAAATCATAAATGAAGAGCAGTGCAGACAGCACTAAACCCCTGCCAAAACAATCTTTATATCATTTTCTTCTCTATGCTACAGGCAGTGTAAATAATATGATGAAAAAAATTTAATATGATACTTAGCCTAATAATAATTTGCTTCTGATCCTTCCTGTAGCCTTTTCCCTTATTTTTTTCCTGCCCCTGTGGGAGGACAGAGTCCTTTGATATCCAAAGACTTTTTCCAAGTTCTCTTATTTCTGTAGGGCACAGTTTTTGCATGTGAAAGCGTGAGTCAGTGTAGCTTTACTTCAACGCTGCAATGCGTTGCACTGCTAGGTAGATATTTATGTAAAGTTTAGAATTCTGAAGTCTCTGAATGCATGTCTTGTACATGTAGATCTCGTGTGTGTTTTGTCCCTGGCATGTGAACTCCTGAGAACTTCCAGAGCATTTAATTATTTTCAGGACTGCTATATTCTTGAAATACCTCCACATCTGAATTTCTTGATAAATAATTTTCAGGAGAAGGAATAATTGTTTTATCTTAGGACAAAATGTTGAAGGTGTTTTGTTTTATTCTTTCTTAGCAATAGATTCCTGACTTGGATGACGAAATGGGAACAGCTAGGAATGTGAAAGAAATGGGAAAATAGAGATTTGATGAAGAAATACTGAGGTCATGATCACCTTAATTGTACCCTAGAGCTTGTTCTCTTGTGTCATTGTTTATGTTAAATGGGCTTGTATCTGAGTTCACTACTTAGTGTTCGGAAGTGCTTGAATTAACAATAAATTGTTTTTCATTTTATTACTGTTCTTGCAAACTAAATGCTACTGAGTAGGTACAAAAGCAGAACAGAAGGAGATACTAAGGAAAGAACTGTAAATGAGGGTAACAAATATAAACAGTATAATGTAAACAAAATTAATGGTCAAAAAGATAAGTAAGATTTCAGTTGCTTTTTTTACTTTAATAATATTAATTCTAATTTTGTAGACTGTACATTTGCCCTACAGCCTGAGCACTGAACTGATATTCAGAAAGCATAATTAGACATGTGTGCAGTTAACGAAGCTTGGTCTGTTGTCCAACTGTAACAAGTAACTTGGATAATTGGGAAAGACTTCTAAGACTGCGAATTATCTAATTTTTGCACCTCTTTTTTGTATTAAAAATTAGTGTTACTTTGAAGAGAAAGAGAATTAAAACTTTTTAATTCTAGTAAATCAAATATAGTTAACAAAATATCCTTTTGAGTTGACTGTGTTACATTAAACTCTGATTGTATGCAAGAAATGGGAGTGTGTCTTAGGGGTTGATGGGAACTTTGTGGCATTTCAAGAGTACATTTGCTTCCAGTTACAGAGCCCTGGTTCTCTGCTTATGTGTTGCTTTATAGTTTACAAGTAAGGAACCTTTAAGTATTGATGCCAGAAACTGAAACTTGTAGGTCAGAGCACAGTCTGGTTTTGAAAGCTTTGGAGGCATGGTAGCTGTGATAGTGGGGAACAGGACTGCAGGTCCTAAGAGGATCTTCCAGACCTATGTTCCTTTTACTGTACTGTAGCCTTAAATATTTGCACAGAGATACAGTCACCCAGATGTAAACTTGTATATTTTGGTACTATGATTCTGCAGTGAGGGAACTGAAATATAAAGGATTACACATCTAGTGTTATAAATAAAGGCTCATTTGCTTCCATTGGTGTGACGGCCTATGTCAATATACCTTCCCTCAGAGAAGCTTGTCTAAAGGCTGATTTACAGATCAGATTCACCTAACTCCAAGTGGGTGCCTGCATCTAAGCTCGTATCTTTTTATAGACAGTGCAGAGCTAGTCGATGCAGTCATTGGAGTGTAGGGTGTGATTCGTCTCATGCTGAAGTAGTTTCTGCATTCAGTCAGATGAATTGCACCATAAACTGTATTGATTAGATTTCTGCTGGCTATAATGGGAACTTAGGAAACTAGTTTGGCTGTACATACATACTTGGCAGGAAGCTAACATTAGATGAAATAAATTCTTTCTTTAAAGTTTAGTTATAGCCAGGCTAAAAATCTGTTTCTTGATTCTTAACTCTGTTCAGTCCACAAGCCAGTTTTTGTTCTATTAGAAAAATGCTGGTAACAGCAGAATTTGTTGGGTTTCTTTGCATGATTGCCCTGGAACAATGTTTTTGCAATTTAGTGACAAGTGAGAGATCTTCCTGGTGAAGCTACTTTTGCAGCAGTATGCTTTTTCAGATGTCAGTGCATCAGAAGATCGAATGTGTTAGGGTGCTTTTCATTGGAAAAGAGTTTTGTCTGGTATCTCCGCTTCAACTTGAGTCTAGAGTTTGTTTTGTATCAGAATTTCTATCTTAGAACTGAAGATGCTTCATTCATATAGCAACCAGGGAAGCTCAGAAATGCTTTCTGCTAAAAAAAGTGAGAAGTAAAGTTTTATCTTTAAGTATATGCTAAAAAGGTTGAAAATTCAGCCAGCGGAGGTTAAGAACTTTCTCCCTTTTGTGCAGGTAATTTAGTTTGGGTTAAGGCTTTACTCTTTAAAGAACACTTTTGATTCTTACATTGTTTTTCATGAAGTTTTGAAGTCTGAATATGTGGCTTGCAGTTGTGGAACAGTGAAAGACTTAGGCCGGTTAAACAGTGAGAACATGAAACTGAGAACATAGCTGAAAAGCGTGAGCACAGGTAGCGTCAGCTGGGGAAAATCTTTTTGAACTATTAGAGAAGTGTATTGCCAAAGGTTTAAAGGAGATAGAGGACACAGTTAATAGCTATAAAACCTACTGAAGAGGTTTTCTGAATGTGGAAGGTATCTCTGTCTTGAAGGGACATGAGGGGCCCCTTGGATTTTTATAAATGCTGTTCTATGTACTATTCTGCCTTAGCTCCTTGCAGAAGATTTTTACAAATCTTACTCTTTTCTATGTTCTGTTTGGAGGAATGTCTAAACTATTCCTCTTCTTCCAGGAATTTATTTCTGCTAAAGACATAAAAATGAAATGCTTCTTCAAGAAGTTGCACTCTACTTGAATTAACTCTTTTGGCTTTTCCAGAAGAAAGCATTTCTGTCAAATAATTTGAAAGTCCACAACAGTATTCTGTCTAAGTAGAGAGCTGATAATATTAAGAACAAAAGGCTTGTGAAGTAACTATACTGAACACAATTCAGAGATTACTACATGCTAATTGTACTTGCTAGCTGCTTGGCAGGTACACATTTTAATTACTGTATGTTGTTGACTTTTGATGTTGATAATAAAGACTATGCTTCACAGAACTGGCATGTTTAGAAGCAGAAGGACAGAAGACTGTTTAGTTCATAACTTATACAATGCCTCCATTCTGAGTGAGGGCGCTGTGCTGAAGTTTTGACTACGTTTAAAATACTTTTCACACTGCTTGCTTTGTTAGCCAAGCGGTAGCTCTGGGGTCACCTCCTCGATTTGAAAAGCTAAAACATGTATTGGAAATACCTTTTTGTTTTGCTGAAGAAACGAGTGGTTGTGTTTTACTACTGACTAGCGCCACAGAGGTGCTGGTGGTATGTTTGAGAGGTGTCCTTTCCCAGAAGCATTTTGAAACAAACTTTCTTTTGAAATTCCTCTTTAATCCTCACTGCTCTGCTAATGAGAGTAAATCAGTGTACGCTACAAAAAAAGAAGCTGGATGTCAAAGGAGAAACTGAAATACAAACTTAAAAGGAAAAGTATTTCCCTCATCAGAACTTTTGACAGTCCCGGGCGTAAACAAATCTCTGTAGTCCTAACAATGCTGCCTGAGTTGTAATACTACCCAGTTCTGCCCTATGAACTGTGCTTCTCCTTTTTGTGAAACTGGTTATTTGAAAAATATCCAACACTGAAAAATCAGGGACTCATAATTTCTGTGTTTCCAATTGAATTTAGTGTTGCTGCAAACAATAGCCTGTAATGCCTAAAATGTCTGTCGGCATCAGCTGAGATGTGAAGATGATCTGTATGTTGCAAAAGAAGGGTAAGAGACAGAATAGCTCTGTAAATGCAAAGCTGAGTGAATGTGCTGTGTTCTGCTAACACAGTTTGTCTGTAGCTGGCAGGTAGCTCTTTATGCCGTAGCTCTTACCAGCGAAGGAGCTGACCTTGGGCTCAGCCCACTGAACTTTATTTTAGCCAGTTAAACTCATGGGAAGTAGATGCACTCTGGGCCCTCACACTCAGTACTCTTTGGGCTGTGTCTTGAATGCTTGGTCCAGTTTTGCCCCCCTCCAGTACAAGCCACACATCAATAAAACAAAGCAAGCTCAGCAGAGAGACATCGAAACAGTCAGGGGCTGGAGCGCTTGCCCGGCGAGGAGAGGCTGAGGGAACTGCTGTTGTTCAAGCTGGAGAAGGGGGGAGGCCTAAAAGCAGCCTGTCCTGTACATGCAAGGAGATCATCAAGACTATACAATACAGTGGTGGATGGTGAGGGGGTGAGGAACAATGAGTGTAAGCTGAAATGAGAGGTTTGTACTGGGTATAAGGAAAACCTTTTTAATTATGAGGGCAGTCAGGCAGTGACACTGGTTTCACAGAGAGGTGGTGCAGTCTCTGTCCTTGGAGGTTTCCAAGACTGGATTGGTAAAGTCCTGAGCAACCTGGCCTGACCCAACTGACTCTGCTCTGAGCAGGAGGGGTTTGACTAGAGACCTCTAAAGGTCCCTTCCAGCCAGAATTATCCTATGATTAAGTGTATTTTAAGAAAGTAGAAATATAGTAGTAAAGGTGTTTCTTGTGTAAAATGGTAGGTTGAAGTGTTCTCATTTCTAATTCCCTGATAAAAAATGTTTTCCTTGGTGTTGGTGTCAACATTTTCATTGTGGTATAAAGGAAGCAAAAGAGAAAACAGAAACTAAAAAATGAAAATCAGCCAAAATTATAAACTAGTCAACAATTTTGTTGGAAAAAAATGACAAGTTAATACATTTTATTCCTCCAGAGATAGTTGATAGATTTTTTTTTTTTTTTTTTTAAATAGGGTTTAGAAAGTTAAATTCACAGAAAAGCCGAGGTGGACAGGGAGCTCTGGTCTAGTCCAACCCCCCTACTCAAGCAGATGCACCTAGAGCAGGTTCCTCAGGACCATGCCCAGTTGAGTTCTGAGTATCTCCAAGGCTGGAGACTCCACAACCTGCCTGGGCAAGAAATTGCAGTGTTTAACCAGCCTCAGGGTAAAAAAGTTCTTTTTTTCTTACGTTTAAATATGGTTTCCTGAATTCCAGTTTGTCCTCTTTGCCTCCTGTCCTTTCACTGGATACTGCTGACAAGATCCTGCCTCAATCGTCTTTAGCTTCCCCATCAGGTATTTTGATGAAATCCCTCCAGGCCATCTTTTTTCCAGGTTAAACAATCGTAGTGCTCTCAGCCTCTCCTTGTATGTGAGGTGCTCCAATCCCTTAGTCATCTGCATGGCCCTGTTCAGTTTGCAGGTTAAGACAGGTAAATGTGGGTGTCTGTGAGTACAGCGGCCAGCAAAGCTCCTGCGCTGTTCAGAGGGGACCTTCTCAGGCTACTTAGAGAGTGATCTACCGACTGGCTCCTGGGCATCTGCCAGTGGGTTCTTCTGGCTCCCTTGACTAGGTCTGTTTCTGAATCCGTCGATTTAGTTTAGTATGGCATTTAGGATGAAGAACTCTTATTGTGTTTTTGCACCTCTTTATCAGAGTTCGAGACAAGGCTTTGGCTGAAATAATTCAAAGAGAGTGGATACACTGATTCTTGAGTAGAATCTTCTCTTCATGTGCTTTTTCAGAATGTAAATGCTAGTAAAGTGTGTGTCTGAAGTAAGCAAAGCACAGAAATATATGTAAAAGTTGTTTAATGGTTTTATAGATTTGTAAAAATTACTGTTCTGTTATATGCAGTTCTTGGTGATTGTGGATTATAGACTCACTGTAGACAACAGAATAAATCTAAACCTTTAAATTTTCTTTTTGCTAGCTAGAAATTATGTGTGCTTTTAAGAAGCCTAACATGTATTAATGTTGATAAACTGTAAAGAAAACTATTTTCACCTTCAGAATGCCATAAAATGTATTTCCTCTTTAATCCTCAGATTGGGCAAGGTAATTTAGTAGGACAAGTAAATCTGTAAATCCAGTTACAGGAAATTTAGCATCAGATCCTCTGTTATAGCTTGAAAATGTTCCCATCTATTGTGCAGTTTGAACTCTTGCCAGGTTAAATAAAGCTCTAGGTCTCTATCTCTATCTTGATCAATAAACATGTATTCAGTGTTTTCAATAATATGTAAGTAGGCTGTATGAAAGACTACTGTGAATTATAGTGCCTCCCCAGAGACTGAGAATAACATCTTGTCGTACTCCGGGAGAGATCTATTGGGTTGAAAACTCTTTGTTTCTGTTGCAGACCAGCAATCACCTCCTTGGGCCAAAGCCATTTCCCCTGGACAGATTGTTAGCAATATTATATAGTATTGTGGACAACAGAGTTGCTCCAACTGCAAATATATTTTCCCAGGTGAGTGTGTACTTACTTTTGTTTCCTTTTTACTGTCTGGACTTTTTGAAAAGATTTTATGTTGTTTCTTGTAAGTCATCATTCTAATTAAATGAGAAAACAACCACAACGGTAATTTTAAGTTGAAGGCTCAGAATAATATTTATCTGTATTACTAGCTATGAATTCAAGAATGTATCTGTGAAATGGTCTAAAACCTTCCAATATCTGAGTTTTTCCTGATCCTGGACTGTGATCTGTGTTCATTAGTTGCTTGACTTCTCACTGAAGTCTGTTAAGCTGTTTGCATTTCAAGTTAAGTATATAAATGTTCACTGTCCTGTGGCTAAAATTAGTCACCTTGTAATGCATGTTACAAAAATGTAGAGGTGAAAAAGGAGCAGAGGAAAGAATGAGATATTTTCAGGTGAAAGATGTTTGCTCTGAGATTTGTGTCTTAGGGGTAATGTTTTTCATTGGGACCAATTTCTAAAAATCTTACAGATCAGAGTCAGTATCCCGTTCACTAGATGGCAGCATGACTATAGAGTTGAGTGGAATTAAGTAAATCTAGAGTTTTCTCTAGACTTCTGGGTTTGTCAAATTTAAATGCCTGTTCTGTGTAAGTAAAGATAGTTTCTGTTGTCAGCTTGATTCTTAGATCTTTCATGTCCACCTCAGAAGATCTCCATTTCTTTCCTGCTTTCCAGTTGTGTTGAACTTTTACTTACAGAAATATTTTCTACCTTTCCTTATTAGCTCTCAAATTTAACCAAGGAGTATTTAAATGTCTGTGTTCATGCAAAGTTCTAGGAAACATTTTTCAGCTTAGTCTGCACCCCCATGAGAGTCAATGGATTGACTTTCAGAGGTGGTCAGTAGGCAGCTGAAAAAATCAAGTTTAGACACGCTCATGCATCCTGTATGTGTTTCTTGCCTTTCTTATGTCATCACACGGTACCTCAGGACTTCGTTGTGCTTACGGAAGGAACCCTAACTCTGTATTTCAAAGCTATGTGAAGTTTCCCATGGACAAAAGCTATATGGAGGGACACCAAAGGTTGTTGAAGCAGGCAGTTTCTGACCAGCCTTTGGGTGATGGCTGCAGCCTTGTAGTTACTTAGAGCAACTTTGGAGTAAACAAAGAACACAGGGACCTTAGTGTTCATAAAAATGCATATATTTGGCCAGCTATATCTAATCACTTTTTGTTTCTGGCTAGTGTCAGATGTAGCTTGAGATAATTGCTTTTGTATGAATGTTGTGTTGATTCTTCAATTCACTGTACTGTGAAGTCTGTTGATCAAGTCTGTCAGTCAAGATATTGGTCACATCCCTTTCCGTAGAGGGTGCTGGGTTTGTGTTTTGCTCTAGGTAGCGTGTTTTTTTTATTTAAGACATGAAGTGTTGAAGCTGAAATCAGAATACTGAGGCAAAAGCCAGTTGTCATGTTTAATGTTGTTAGTTTATCAACAATGATTGATCTAGGTTTAGTTCAGTAAGAAAAGGAGTCTTATGAGACCGTTAGAGAAACTCAGAAGAAAATAAGATACAAGTAATATTCAGATTGGTTTTGCTTGTGCTTTAAATCTATTGATGATCCACCACATAGGTACTTCTTGTTTTAAGCCTCTCTCTCTTTTCTCTCTCTCTTTTCTCTCTGCCTTTCTTTTTTCACGCCTTTGAAGGCACTGTCACTGTGATCTTCCCCAACAAAATATCATTTTTAAGATGGACGGAATGCAACCTTTAAGGCATAAGATGAAAGAACAGGCAAGAAGCAGGACAACTGACTGTCCACAGCAGCTGTGAAAGTGAATGATGATAAAAGACTGGGAGCACTATGTAGTATAATTTGTGTGTAGGATGCTGGCTGTATATTCTCTTTATTTTTTGTATATCAAAATCATCTTGGTATACTTAAGATGTGAATGTACTATATAACAGAATTTTACAGTGTATTTTCAAAATTAATATGTCTGCATGTTTAACATGCGTTCCAGTGAGAGAACAAATTCCATTATTCTAATGCAGTTAAGTAGTACTGAAAACGTAGTTTGTACATGGAGTGTAATTCCCCCTTAGACTAAATTGCAGAATGAGAAAATTCAAGTAAATGCTTCATCCTAATTTAGAGTGTACACTAGATGGCAGTGTTAACAAAGAATAGCTGTAATTTATTTTTCAGAATATATGCAGATTAAGCTATGAAGATATAAAAATATTCTATTAAACCTTAACCAGGTTAGGGCAAACAAGTTGAAATTAAATCTGTTTATGGAAAAATAGAATTTTATAATTTATTTTAAAAATATTTTAATTATGAAAACAGTTTTTGTATTAAATAGTAATTTTAAATCGTTGAAATTTCTCATGTAAATTAACATAAAATACAACGTAATTTTAAACTGATTTTGGAAGTAGTTTAATCTAGGCGTAATACTTAATGGCAGTTTTATTCTTGATTAGTTTAAAACAATTTGCGTTTCACTGATTTTTGCCATTAATTATTCTGTAAATATATTTTCCAAATAAAGTAAATGTCAAGAAGCTGGGTTATCCTTAGCAGTATTGATACATTTTACAGTTAGACACCACAAGCTTTTATTTTCTTGTTTGTGTGTACAGCATGGAAATCATTCTTGAATTGAGCAGAAGTTTAAAATGTTTTAAATCAAATATTTGGGTTCTTAACTGAGTCAATGTTAATTTCATGTACTCTTTAATTTGTAAACTGAAAGGCTGTACATGAAACAAATACTTAATAATTCTCCCGATGTACTGTCAGAAAATAGCATGACTTTGCTTTAAAATTGATTAAGAATCTCAGTCAAGATTCAAGAAGGACTAGCAGCTGCTTGAGGATCTGTCATGTTGCTGATTTCTTGATATTTCTTAATGCTTCTTGTTTCTGTGGATAATTTCCATTCAGATGAAAATTCTGGTTAGCTTTTAAAAAAATGAAACTGCTGTGCTAATAAGCAGCAAAATTTAAATTTTCTGTTTAATGCTAGGTTTTATTGAAAATGTTTCATTTTTACTAAATGGAATTTCAACTTAAAATTTACATCTTAATCTAACTTTTGCCTTTTAGTGATAATTAGTCCTTAAAATGGTCTCATACTTTTTCAAACAAAAAGTTAATGTGTTCCTTTCAAAAGCATGATTTTTGCAATTGATATGAGGCTGTTTTTCCTGCTGTAACTTCTTGCTGTAATTGGGTTACATAAGAAAGAAATGGGCTCATTCATTTTGGTTTTCCTCACCAACTAGTACAGGGGAGTGGCACGGGGAGGGGGGGAACCCCAAACATGCAGATTTCCACTTAGTCAAATTATAATTGTTTCAGTTACCCCCTTAAAAGTTGAAATTTCTCATGGTTTTGTGCTATTTTTAAATAAAATTTTCGCACATCTAGTGAAGATTGTTTGAGAGAAAGTTAACGTAAGATTTTTTCTTTTCTTTTAGACTACTGATGTTAGTACATATGTGAATATAGATCTATATTCACTTGAGAATTTTCCAGTGCTCCTTTCCCTCCAGCATAGTCACTGTTTTTCTTACTTCTAATTTGTCGTGATACTGTTTTTTTAACACATTATGTGTTACTGTAGCATGTCACTGATGTGTTTGAATTTTTTTGCTTTGTTTTTAAACCAAGAGATAATGGAGATTAAAGCACTATAGATTTCTGCAGCCATTTCAGAGAATGAGACCTTTGAATGTTTTTCTTCAGATGCACTTTTGTGAAATAATTTTAACAGATTAAAGATGATATTAGCACTGCCACTGGGCAGTTACATTCTTTGCCTGGGACAGAACTTGCACAGTTGATGTTCTGGTTGGATATTTGGCTAGGTTGAGCATGTGGCTGAAATATTTTAGAAGAGCAAACATTATTTTTAATGGTGAAAAAATGCAGATGTACTTTCACACAATGCTAAAAATAATGCAACTATGGAGTATGCAGTCTGCATCTTACGACAACAAATAATAGGGTTTCCTTACCTAGGTACAGCAATTGATGCTTTTTCAGGCTCAAGGAACAACGAGGAGTAAGATTTGTGTGTCCACATGGACCCACTGTGCAGCATATGAAATGTGCATTGTGTCCAAGTGCAATTATTACAGAATGGAGGGATACAAAGAAACTTCATAAGGCCTACCACAAGGGCACTTTGCAGAGGTTCGGAGAGTCTACCCAGTTCTGGTTTGTAGAGGAGTAGTATTTCATTTTAGGTTTCCCACATTTAGACAGAAATATAACATTATTCTCTTTATAAAAAAATATGCCTTAGTATAGGACACATGAATGGATTTATGCACAAAACGTCATGCAAGAATTATCAGCACTGATTTAAATTAAATCAGCTAATTTTCATTGAAGGGGTCAAGGGCTGTTAATTTCATATCACAACCAATAAGCAAGTAGGTATTTTTGTTGTTACAGTTAAGGTTTACATTATGGTTTCAAAGCCAGAATTAACAATATTTTTTCCTCTACCAAAATGATTTGTCAGTTGCTGCTTCAAATCAATTCAGTTCTCCTAACCATTTTACATTTTCTAGACTTCTTGTCTGGCTTCTGCTTTCTTGTGAAATATGCTTTTCATAAAGAGCTTTGACTACATCTACTTGTATTTTTGAGCTATAATGTTATCTTTATTAGGTAAAATGGAATTAAACCTTTTGTCTTGCATAGTTTTTGCATGTTTTATTCCTGTTAATACATCCCTGAATGTTTGGAAAGACATCTATGCAGAGAGGTCTGTTAACTTTTCAGAATATACTAGTAGCTGAAAATTACTGAATGGATGACTGATCAGTAACTTCAGTTCTGTTTGCATTTTTGCTGTAATGCATTAAAATGAGACTGTTAGGTCATCTGAAAAAAGTTTAGTCTCTGTTTACATTCAGAATCAGGTCTGCTTTTACTGTTACTCATTCAGGGAATATTTTCAGATAGTTGTATAACTGTAATTCACTTCTGATTTATAGTGCGTTCAGAAACACATTTCTGC